CTCTGGAGCCGAAGGTCTCTGCTCTGGAGCCGAAGGTCTCTGCTCTGGAGCCGAAGGTCTCTGCTCTGGAGCCGAAGGTCTCTGCTCTGGAGCCGGGCTGCCCACCTCCCAGCTCCAGCCTCACACTCCCCGGTGGTGGGCCCTGGGTACCACTTGGCCTGACTTGTCTGTTCTTCACTTACCTGCTCCATCGGCCCATGCTGTGCGGATTGGACAGGCCTAACCTAGCGAAGCCCGCAGAACACGGCTTACCTCACAGCAAGTGTTTGAATGGTGACTGCTTACCCCACCTTCCCATGCTCTCGGGCTGCAGACATTTGCATGTTTTGTGCCCTTTTCCTGGACCACTGTTCCTCCCATCCCTAGTGCCTAGTCTGCAGCTGTCCTGATGCCTCCTCCAGGCAGGCCTCCCTGGCTCCTTAGGCCTGTACTCTGTGTACCATCACCACTGCCCTTAGCACAATACTAACTTATTTGGTTCATCCTGCTTTGTGAACTGCATCTAGGACCCAAGCAGTACTTTTGTACTGCCAGGGCCTGGCACTGTACCCGCTCAGCCTCTCAACGACTCACAAGCAGCCATGGGGACTTGGGCTATAAAGTTGAGGGAGGTGGACAGTCGGAGCAAAGCTATGGACCCTTGAGGGAGCCCCTGTAGGGGCAGCATCCGTTGGCCTGGCTCTGGAGAAAGCAGTCACTTACTGAGCTCCTGGGCCAGGCCAGCAGCATTCTGGGTGCTTGGTGCAGACTGGCCCCTGACACCTCTAGGCAGCAGGCCGGGTATAAAGATGGCACGGAGAGCTTGAGCAACCTGCCCAAAGTCAACTAGCCAATGACCCTCCTGAGCCCGTCCAAGATGGCAGGACTGCCAAGATTGGGCCTGCCTCCTGGCTTGCCGTGGGTCCAGGGGCCTTTGCACCACTCACTCCAAGCTTATGGGACAGTGTTGGCAGTCTCGGGCCGTGCAGCATTCCCAACCTGCTTGTTTAGGAGAATGTGCTTTCTTTAGAACCCCCATCCGGAGCCGCAGTCACAGAACTCCATCAAGGGGGCTCCCAGTTTTTCTTTTCCGTTCTTCCTTCCGTTCTCTCTGTCTCCTTTAGCAGCCAGATTCATTACCTCACGGTTCTGTGGCCAGAAATGTGCCTTGGCTCAGCTGTTGCCTCCGCTCCAGGATTTAGTAACAATGTCAGCCTTCTGGGCTCTTCCTGGGGATTCTGAGAACCCGTTCCAGGCTGGTTCAGGTGGTTGGGAGAATACACTTCACTGAGGAGGTAGAACTGAGGCACCACTTACCTCACTGGTCTGCAGCGAGGCTGCCTTTAGCTTCTGGAAGCATCTCTGGTCCCTGGATCTCAGTGACTAAGTGTTCCCCAGTGGCATGTCAAGTTCTGCGTCTCATGCCTGGGATTCCCCTACCACACCTGACTCCAGCCAGAGAAAACCCTCTGCTTTTCAGATCTGTGTGTGTGCTTAAACTGTGCACATCTAGATAATCTTCTTGTTTTAAGGTATATAGTATTTTCTAGCTGGGCAGTGGTGGCACATGCCTTTAATCCCAGCACTCGGGAGGCAGAGGCAGGAGGATCTCTGTGAGTTCGAGGCCAGCCTGAGCTACCAAGTGAGTTCCAGAAAAGGCACAAAGCTACACAGAAAAACCCTGTCTTGAAAAACAAAACAAAACAAAACAAAAGGTATATAGTATTTTCTAAAACTTTTTAAATTTAAATTGGCACATAGTAATTGGACATTCTCAGAGGGTGTAGTGTGGCATTTCTGTCCATGTATTTACTATGTAATGACAGATCACACGCACAGCATCACTTTGTTGGAAATGTTGAGAATCCTCTCCACTGACCTTTTGAAAACAGTCACCATTGTCAACCAGTTATCCTACGGTGCTGCAGGACTTGAAAGTGAGTCCCCATTTAACTGCGCCTGGATCTGTCAGCCGTCCTCTCCACCCCACCCCCCTCTGGCGCCATTTCCAGTATACCATGACCACTATCCTGTTCTTCATGTCTTTGACATACACTTTTCACTCCCACAGAAAGGAAGACCATGCCCGGCTTACAGCCCGTTTCTGCCCTTGCAAATGGGATGCACTGGCTCCATTACCCGATGTGTGCCCCCGCTGCACCTTGCTGGCCCTGCAGTATTTATTAGCCAAGGGCAATTAAGTCAACCCTGGAAGCTTGTTAGCAGGCAAGCTATCGGCTTGGCAACAGGGCATGGTCCCTGCACTAGGGTTCTGCCTGAACATGGGAAGTATAAACATGCCACCCTTTTCTGTGTGCCCCCAATCTATACACAAAGTATCACCTGAGGTAAGGGCAGGTGCCACTTATCATGTTCCTGCAGTGGCCCAGGCACTGTCCCCACTTTACCCACAAGGAAGTTGCGGTACTGAGACGCTAAGGAAGACCAGTCACAGAGTTATTAAGCAGCTCATATATTCTTAGTCGTCTCCAGTCTGGATTCTCACACTACAATGTAAACTATTGTTTATAAAGTAAAGTAACTTTTTAATGTTATTTAAGTTTGCAATAACACAAAATTATTCCCCCATCTTTCCCCCAATAAAACAAAGCCCTTGGAGCAAAACAATCCACTAAAACATACTGGCATCTTAATATAGAAATGGGCTGCAGGAACTCTGAAGAACTCTGCATCCAAGCAGTGAAGGGGTAATTTCAATGTATTTCTGCAAAGTTCCTTTATTGATGGCTCAGCAGGTGTTTCTTCCACTGAAATAGGGAATGTTAATGGAGCCCTGATTTACATTCTAGGCTAATTTACACGAAGGGTTTGTTTTGTACCAGCCTTTGTCCCCAAGTATTAATTCAGCTATTTCCCAGCCCATTGCCTCCAGACCTCCCCGAGGAATGAGCAGTGACAGTTCTGCCTGTATTGAACTACCCAGCCAACACCCGAGCCATCAGTTTATGG